TTCGGGGGCCGGACGGGCCATGTCTTCCTGTGCCTGCACCCTTGCCCGGGAACGTGCGGTTTCTCCCGCAAAGGAAGCAACGTGCATCCTGCAGGCCCTTCTGCACTAGGGGTTTGGCCCCTCGACATGCTTCACTTAGCCGCTGAGGCAGAAATGCAGTCCTTTGCTGTGCCCTTCCTCCCAGCCTGCTGTGGCCTCGCCTGCTGTGCCCTCAGCGTGGCCGTGAGACAAGCCGGACGTGGCCGCCCTCACTGGGCAGGGGACAATGGCAGCAGAACCGGTCCGAACCAGTCACGGCCAGCCACCCCCCAATGCGGGCGCAAGCTGTGGAGACCCCCACCGCCCAGCAGGGCTGGCCTGCACCACCTGACCCCACGCCGCCCCAGATGGAAAAGCTAAGTACATTTGTGTCGGTTCCTAGCACAGAGACCCTGTGGGTGGTCCTTACGTAGCAGTAGCCGACAGATGCCATTCTACTGTGTTCTCCTTGGGTGGCCCTAACCGCACCAGCGAATTGCATCGCCAAGTACATACTGGTGAATGCACGTGTCTGGCTCCCAGATCTCTCTCTCCTCTGAACTCCAGTCCCCCACGCAGCATCTCCGTTTGGGGGTCCTGGGCTCCAAGCTCAGCCCCCGAGTCTGCCCGGGGCTCCCTCTCCTCAGACGGAACCTCCCTCCACGGCCTGTGCTCTCCTCTCCCCTCACCCTTCCCTCCACTTCCACCCCTCTGGGGTTTTTCAAAAGTGGTCCTGTCTTCCGCGGAAGCCCACCCAACTTCCTTAACTACCTCTGTGCTTCAGCTCTCTTGCGAATGTCCCTTCCTCCGAGAAGCCCTCCCTGACCCCTCCTGCCCCACCCGGCGTGAGTCAGACCTGCCGTTTTTTGGCACTCCCTCCAGACACATTTCCCCGAGTCTGCGGTCCTGTGCCTGGGCGGCTGCGCTGGTGCGAGCCTCTCCTGGCATCAGATCTCTGAACCCGCATTTGCCAGTTTGCCTCTCCCTCGCAGCTAGCACATTCCTGGCATGTCACAGGTGCTTAGAAATGTTGGGCGAATAAGTGAACGACTCCCTGAGGAAGTGTAGCATGTCAGGGCCCACGGGGACTGGTGGCAGGAGGCATACAGAAGGACGCCATTGGTCCAATAGCCGTGGTCTATTTCCCAGCAGAGAAGTGTGGCAGCCCCTTTCCGCCGTGTCATCTGGAGGGCGTGGGCAGAATGGGCCCGGTCCGGCATCCCCCTGCCTGGTCAACACCTGCCCTCCTACCCCCATCTCTCCAAGATCATAAAGGATCCCTCTTGGGCTACAGCCATGGCCCTGGACGTCACCCCAGCAGTGGCCTGGGGTCATCCAACGCGTCTCAACAGGCCGTTGGATGTGCAGACCTGCAGTCTTGAGCGATGTTCCCGGGGTCAAGGGGGACCGCGGGTGGAGCCCCGAGGGGACGGGTGGGTGGACGCTGGCTCTCAGGCCAGAATGGTGTGGGCAGAGGAGGCTGCAGGAGGGAGAGAGGCACTGAGCTCTACGGGATAGATGGGGGCCGGGCGTGCCTTTGGCCTGCGCAGGAGGGCCCGTGGCCGTCTGTTACCATCTTTCGGGAGAACGGTACCACCATTTGCGAGTTCCAAAATCTCACATATGTCTACGAATTTTTTCATGCTCGGGAAGCTGGACGTGTCCTGTCTGCCTGCAGTTGGAAGGAGAATCACAAGGTCAGAGTCCCCAGCTCTGGCCGCCTGGGGCCGTACCCGAGCCCGCGGCCACCGCAGCACCCTCCGAGCTGGCAGGACAGAGAAGCCAGGGTGCTGCCAAGGGAGGCGGCAGAGGCGGGTGATGGGGAGTGTGCTTCTGTCCCCTCTGTGCTCCGAGGCAGGTGGGTGTCCCCGGTGTGGCCCCGAGGTGGGCACCACACAGGGCCACTTGGGGAGCCCTCTCTGCTCACAGGACCCCTCGGCCGGAGCCTGATGCCCCTCCCGCTGCACTCCTGGCCACGCCCTCCTCCACGGAGACTCCATGGGACCCCCCCGACCTCTCCGATGGGTGTCCTGCAGGCCTCGGTGCCCGGAAGTGGGTTTGTGCCCCTTTCCCCCCACCCCTCCCTGGACAGCAGCTCCCCCCCGCCCTCCCTTCGCCACCCCCCCTGCTCCCCCGATCCTGCCCTCAGCCCGCGGGGGTGTTCCCTGCCTCCATGAAGAGGGTCAGTCCCCCTCCTGACCTGTTGCCCTCTGGGCTCCGCCCGTGCACTGGCCGCCCCCATTCAGGCCCGTGGCAGCCACACCAGAGACCTGCCCACCTGGTCCCCCCGTCCAGGCGCCACACTCCGCCCGCCTACCTGGCCACCCCATTTGCTGTGTGTGTCCCGGCCCTGTCCTCCTTCCTCCCACTTCCTGCCAGCCCGCAGCGCAAGGGCCGTGACAGTAACGGACTGTGTCTTCGTGTCCCCCCAGATTCATCCATCAGAACCCCAGAGGGATTGTGTGAGGTCCCGGATCCTTGGGAGGTGTGTGGGTTTCGCTGGGTGCTCATAATGGGGTCAGTGCCCGTATAAGAAGAGGAAGACACCAGAGCCCTCTCCCCGACACTTGACATAGTGAGAAGGCGGCCATCTGCAAGCCAGGAAGGGGGGCCTCCCCGGAACAGCAGGGGCCACTGGGAAGGGTCAGGAGTCCCTCCCACACACCCACCCCCCTTCCAGGCCTAGGCCACGGGCACTTGCATGCTTGTGGGCTCTGGGACCGTGGCCTGCCTGCCCGCCCTGGGGGCCGCTGTCCCTCCCATGCACCCAACCCTGGGACAGAGGAGCGGCATCTCCCGGGCCTGTGGCCGTGAAGCCGGGTCACGCCTACCCCCAGGACTTTCTCTCCAGGCCCCGGGTCTTCATACGCACAAGGATTCCTGAACATCGCCTTTTTCCTATCTTTCCGCAGAATTAATGTGTGTGACTGGCACCCCTGTGACCTAGGGGGGCAAGGCGGGAGCCCTTTGTTGCCTCTGGTTTTCTGGAATTTTCCTGGTTGGAGCAGGGCCAGACCCACAGCTTAAGGGAAACCCTCGGAACTCCCACTGTCTGCCAAGTTCTCCCGTGTACATGGTGGCCTCTCCCAAAATCAGGCTTTGAATTTTAGGGGCAGGATGGGTTTCGGGGCTGCAGTGATGGTCTGTCAGATGTGCAGATGATCGTGGGTCTGGCTTCCCACGCCCCCGGCGCCCTTTCCCCTCTTGATGGGGAGATGTCAGGGCTCCGTGAAGAGTGTGCTGGGCCCCCACCCCGGTCCACTCACCAGCTGAAGGCAAGGACCACGTT